CACCTATTGATTTTGTTAGAATTTTCTTTCTTTATTCTTTATTCTTTATTTATTTTTATTTATTTTTATTTCTTCCGTACACTTTTTATGCCTCCGTTACGAAGTAGCCGGAGGCATTATGTTTTCGGGTTGTCCGTCCGTCCGTCCGTACGTACGTCTGTACGTACGTACGTCTAGTTCTCGTGATCGCGTTATCTGAAGAACTGGTTGATGGATTCCTGCCAAACTTTGGTCATGTATGTATCTTGTAGAGCCGATGAACTGAGTAGATTTTGGGGTTACAGGTCAAAGGTCAAAGGTCACAGGGCTCATTATGTATGCAAAACGAGCTCGTGATCGCGTTATCTGAAGAACCAATTGATGGATTGCTGCCAAACTTAGTCATGTATGTTACTTGCAAAGCCGAAAAACTGATTAGATTTTGAGGTCACGAGGTCAAAGGTCAAAAGCCACAGGGCTCATTATGTATGCAAAACGAGCTTGCGATCGCGTTATCTGAAGAACCGATTGATGGATTCCTGCCAACTTAGGTCATGTATGATTCTTGCAGAGCCAATGAACTGAGTAGATTCTTGGTTCATAAGGTCAAAGGTCATGGGCTCATTATGTATGCAAAAATAGCTTGTAATCACAATATTCTGAGAACCTGTTAAAGGTACTATGTCCCATTTGCAGGCCCAAAAAATGAAAAAGTTAAATTCCAACTGCATTTGAAAGATGATACTAATTTAGAACTTCCCTAAAACAGGTGGGGCTTGAAAATGTCTTCAAGTGGGAAAATAACGACTATTAGTTGTCAAATCGACTTTAGGGCTATAGAGCCCAAAAGTAATAGTCTTGATTTTCAGACAATTGTACCGAATGGTCATACGTTTTATGCTGCGCAAAGATTCAATCAGTTTAATCTTGGCCATCACAAGAAGTAGGTTATTGATGTAGACAAATGCTCATGTACCCTTTACAACTCTTTTCATGTATGTTATTACCAAAGAAGAAAAAAGCCAGTCAGTCACTCAATAGTGTCTGACAGTGAAGTCTAGCAAGTAAACGGGTTTCCTTGCATAATTTGAATATGATGACACTGCTGACGTTTAAGTTTCACAGATATGACATACATGACATATTCATAATTCCTGCAAAGTTCTACAGAATTTGAGGTTGGCTGCAAAAGGGACATAGTACCTTTAATGGATTACGATTGAACTTGAATTCGAAAAATTTCTTCTGTTTTGGTTTGTAAAATTGCTCTATGACGGAGGCATCATTTTCGACTGCGCGCAGTCGAAGTTCCATCTAGTTTGTGCACAAGTTTACTCGAAATCGACTTGGTCAATTTCCTTCAAATTTCTGTCAGTCATCAGGCCCTACAATATCAAGTTCCTAAAACCTTTTTCAAGGTCATGGGGTCATCGTGACGTCATCCAGGCGCCATTTTGTAAACATCAGGTCATTTATCATATCTCGATAACGAGTTATCAAAAATCAACCATATACATGTGTAAAAACATGCCTATACAAAATTCATTGTAACTCTTCTGAATGGATGGATACTCCCCATTTTTTTTCATATTTGGATAGATTATGAGTCGGAGATATGATTTCTATTCTCATTTGACCCTCAATTAACTCATGACGTCATCATAATGGCCTCCCAACTCAAAATTTCAATTTGGATATTATGACGTTAGCAGATTTCTGGAAAATTGATTGTATCTCTGTAAATATTGACCAATTTTCTTTCAAATTTTGGTATGTTTTAGCTGAGAATATTCTCTACAAATGCAGTCATTTCATTTTGACAATGGCATCATGGCGTATTTTTGCGATTAAAGGAGGCACGTCAATTTTTCACATTTTGCGTGTATTCTCTATGGGACATGACTTTTTCTCAAAACTGGATTCTACATTCTTGACTTTTGCGAGCAATATCTCCGTCGTTTTATCTTCGTTTACGCTGAGCTTTGAGTATGTTGTAGCTGAGACAATATGCTATTATAAGTGTGCACTTTATTTTGCGATCCGATGCCGGGATCATGCTCATATTTCACTTACAAAGTGGGATTTGAGAATTCCATTTTCCGTTTACGTGTAATCTCTTTGGGAAATGTTTTGGTATATCGGTAATGCACTTGACTTCCGACCTCGAGGTCCCTGGTTCGAGTCCGGGCGTCTCCAACAATTTTTTTCTTCACTTTTTTTTTCTTTTTGACCTTTCACTGTACCTTTGCCTTTGCTTATTAAAACATGTATAATCACAAATAATGTTATAAACAACCATATTTACTTTATTATTCCCCTATTATCACTTGATCCATTACTTTTTGCGTGTAGTCCCTATGGGAGATGACTTTTTCTCAAATCTGGATTCTACATTCCTGTCTTTTGCGAGCAATATCGCCGTTATTTCCGCTTAGTTTTTGTTGATTTTGGAGTATGTTGTAGCTGAGACTATATGGTATCTAAATGTCCCCTCTTTTTTTTAAATCAGATGTCATCATGGTCTTTTGATGATCATCATCATCATCATCAACATCGTCATCACCATTACTATCAAGATCATCATCATCATGATCATCATTGTTTACATGTCTATATAACTTCTCCCTTTTTCAATATAGTAAATATTATAATCTATTATAAGACTTGAAGACAGACCACCTTCTTCGTCCTCGTGACGAATTAAATTCTAGTTTATTTCTTTATTCTTTATTTATTTTTATTTCTTCCGTACACTTTTTTGTGCACACGTTTACTGGAAATCGACAAGGTCAATTTCCTTCGAATTTCTGTCAGTCATCAGGCCCTATAATTTCAAGTCTAATCAACTTTTACAAGTTCATGGGCTCATCGTGACGTCATCCAGGCGCCATTTTGTAAAAACCAGATCATTATTATATCTCAATAACGAGTCATCAAAAATCATCCGTATTTGGTATACATCAACTTCAGGTCAAAGGTTAACTAAAAATGTCAACAAATTCCGCGCGCGCGCCTCGACGCGTGTATCAAAATTTTATAATGCTCCAATTTGTCCCCAATTAATTTTGCAAACGTTTCAGGCCATTTTAAGCATTTTGCAAAAAAACGCGCATGCGTGTGCGTTTTCGCGCGTACTTGCATTTCGCAACATAGAATCGCCAAATTTTCTCTGTCATCATATTTCGCAAATTTTTTCAAGCATTTTGAGAACTTGTTCACCTTTTTCTGACCATTAATAACGGAATGAGCGTCCGTTAAGATACGCATCTATGCGTGCGAGCTCTTGTAATACATAACATACATGTGCAAAATCATGCCTATACAAAATTCATTGTAACTCTTCAGAATGGATGGATACCCCCCAATTTCTTTCATGTCTACATTGTAAATAGATTATGAGTTGGAGATTTGATTTCATGTCTCATTTGACCCTCAATTACCTCATGACGTCATCATAATGGCCTCCGAACTCAAAATTTCAATTTGGATATTATGACGTTAGCAGATTTTTGGAAAATTGATATCTCTGTAAATATTGAGCAATTTTCTTTCAAATTTTGATATGTTTTAGCTGAGAATATTCTCTACAAATGCAGTTGTCACGATATTTCATTTCGACAATGGTATCATGGCGTATTTTTGCGATGAAAGGAGGCATGTCCATTTTTCACATTTTGCGTGTATTCTCTATGGGACATGACTTTTTCTCAAAAACTGGATTCTGCATTCTTGTCTTTCGCGAGCAATTTCGCTGAGACCATAAGCTATCACAAGTGTGCCCATTATTTTTCGATCAGATGCCGGTATCATGCTCATATCTCACTTGCAAAGTTGGATTTGCGAATTCCATTTTCCGTTTATGTGTAATCGCTATGGGAAATGTTTTGGTATATCGGTAACGCACTTGACTTTCAACCTTGAGACCCCTGGTTCGAGTCCGGGCGTCTTTACCAATATTTGTCTTCACTTTTTTTTCATTTTGACCTTTCACTATACAATCTCCTTTGAATTTTAAAACACGTAGAATCGCAAATAATGTAATAAACAACCATATTTACTTTATTATTACCCTATTATCACTTGATCCATTACTTTTCGCGTGTAATCCTTATGGGAGATGACTTTTTCTCAAATCTGGATTCTACATTCTTGTCCTTTGAGAGCAATATCGCCGTTATTTCGGCTTGATTTTTGTTGATTTTTGAGTATGTTGTAGCTGAGACCATATGCTATCTAAATGTTCTCTCATTTTTTCAGTCTGATGTCATCATGGTCTGTTGATGATAATCATCAACATCATCATGATCATGATCATCATCATCATCGTCATCACCATTACTATCAAGATCATTATCATCATGATCATCATCATGATCATCATTGTTTATATGTCTATATAACTTCTCCCTTTCTCAATATAGTAAATATTATAATCTATCATAAGACTTGAAGACAGACCACCTTATTCGTCCTCGTGACGAATTAAATTCTAGTTATTATTTTGTTACAAATTTGTGGTGAGGGGGGGGTGGGGGGATGGTCCCTCGCCTCCTTACACTACGCTAAAACACCGCTCCTAAACATTGACTTTCCAGTCTTTAAATTTTGAAACAAAGAGAAATAATGCTTACATTATTTTAGTAATTGTTTTATTTTGTCATCAAAATATACTAAATAAGAAATGAAATATGACTTTTTAAATCACCTTGCTGCCAGTCTAGGAGGATTATGAGATGGTTGAATTGATTGATCCCACAAAGTGCATTTCTAAGTACTGGTACAGTAATTTCTTTAAAAAATGACCCCAAGCAGGAAAAAGGGATCGCTAATGTATGTTTCATGTATATGATTTGAGTGATGTTATACTAATGTGATGTACTTTATTTGAGATAACAAAAGTAACTGCAATACAGTACAGAGTGAAAAAAATATCTAGTTCAATGATGGGTTAAAGGGTTAGAGAAAAATGGTATATTGAGGCTGATTGCATTTTGTACCATGTTTGCTTCCTTCCTTTCCAGTGTGAAGAGAATTAAGCTGTGCTATCTCCTGGAGGGGACTCTCTGTAATGCCTCGTGGAAGATTTCACTCTTGATGTTGAAGAATTAATAGAGCAGCAGCAGCAGAAAGACACACACAAGAAAGTCTTCACATTAAACCAGATGATGGATATCAAGAATGGAACAAGTAAATGTTCACATTGGGTAATCAGAAGGAGAGTAAAATCCAAGCATGGAGACTGGTAAGAATTTTAAATGCAAGAAATGCAGCAGATTATTCACAACCAGTGGTGGTCTGAGGAAGCATTTATTAAGATGTCATGAGAAGCATCATGTAATGAAGAGTCGTCTAAGAAGCAGGCAAACCCAAACCCCTGAGGCTTGTATGACAAGAGCTGATAGAGATAGTAGTGACCAACCAATTGATACGATAAAGACATCTGCTGGAAATCTGACTCCTGGTGAAGAGAGTGAAGAATTTTGTTTTAAAACAAAGTGCTTGAACCAAAGGAAGGTGTGTAACATCTGCCTCAAATCTTTTGCAAATGTTCAAGTTTTAAAAACACACATGCGAAGACATACAGGAGAACGTCCATATTTCTGTACATTGTGCGAGAAAACTTTTACCCAAAAGAATGGTCTGATCGTCCATATGCATACCCATGCGAATGAACAATTTCCCTGTCAGGAATGTGGTTTAGTTTTCACCCAGCTTAGAAGTCTAAAGAGACATTCAAAATATCACACGGGTGAGCTGCAGATGAAACGCAGTGCCTCTGGACAATACAATGAGTTTAAAGTAAGAGTTTGTAAGGCCTTGTCTGACACTGGAGTACAAGAATATGAAAATGTGTTTCGTTGCAACTTTTGTGACAAGGACTTTAAGACTGGAAGCCAGCTGATGGTTCATAGGCGAGTCCACACCGATGAACGTCCCTTTGAATGTAGGATGTGCCAGCGCAGCTTCAAGCAAAAGATCACGTTACTTGATCACGAAAGTACTCATCTACCACAAAAATCTCACAAGTGCCACCAATGTGGGTCGTTGTTCAAGCAACAAAGGACCCTAAGGCAACACAAGAAATTGCAGATTTGCAAGAAGAAGGTGAAGAAAAATAGAGATAGTGAGAATCAAAAGGGGGCAGAAATCAGTGTACCTCAATGTCAAGAGGAAACCAATTTATTATTTTCTGATGTTGCACAGAATGCTGAGGTGTCCTGTTTGCAGAGCATGAAGCACTGTATTGAGCAGAACAGTGATGGCAAATTAGAATTAGAAACAAAAATGATTGAAGAGAGCATTGAAATTCAAGACAAAGTCCAGGTAGAATACATTACTGGTTTAGATGGTGAGCAGGGAGTTCCAGAATTAGTTTCTCGCAAGAGTGATCTTGACCATGGTGCATATTGTACATCCACTGAAACTGACACGAATACTATTCCAATGTTTGTTTGTGAGTATTGTGGCAAAGTTTTCAAGGGAAAGAGAAATGTGATTCAGCATCAGAAGACACACACTGATGAAAGGCCATTTGTATGTGGTATATGTTTCAAGGGGTTCAAGATAAAGGCAACTCTGGTGGAGCATGTAGGGATCCATACAGAAGGTAAACCTCATCCCTGCCAAACATGTGGCAAGCACTTCAAGACTCAGAAATGTCTTCAAAACCATGTAGGAAGAAATATATGTACAGGTATTAGACCTTATGTCTGTAGGGGTTGTGGCAAAGCATTCATGTATGACAGATACCTGGAGAAGCACAGGTGCCTTGGAAGTGTCCCCAAGACATTTGAGTGTGAAGAATGTGGGAGAAAGTTTACCCGCCACAACCTTCTGACTGAACACAAGAGAGTACATACTGGAGAGCGTCCTTTTGAATGTGAAGATTGCGGTAAGATGTTTGCCAAGAGGGACCTTTGGAGACGTCATCGCCTCACCCATAAAGACAAACGATTTGAGTGCCAGGAATGTGGAAAGCGATTTGCCCAGAAATCCACAATGCAGGTTCACATGGCTGTCCATTCTAAAGAGAGGAAACACGTTTGTGATGTATGCAATAAGTCATTCAAACTGGCCAGCTCATTACGCAATCACCTCAAGGCAATGCACACCAAAAACAGCCAGGCAGAGACCAAGCCCAGTGCATATCTGTGCTCTTACTGTGGGAAAGTCTTCAGGCACCTTGGGTGGATGCTGAAGCACCTCTGTGAAGCCAGTGGTGTTAAACGTTTCAAATGCTCCATGTGCAGTAAAAAATTTGACAAGAAGCAGCAACTGGAGGTCCACTCTCGTATACACACTGGCATTCGCCCATACAAATGTAAAGAATGTGAAAAGTGCTTCACTCAGGTCAGTAGTCTCAAGGACCATATGGTTACCCACACAGGGGAAAAGAACTACAAGTGTGACATCTGCCACTGTGCCTTCACACGTAAGAACAGTCTCCAGAGGCACAAACTTATCATTCATGAGGGTGTCGAACCATTCATTTGTAGTAAATGTGGCTTGACTTTCAAGTACAAGAAATCATACAATGCTCATGCCAATGTGTGTGAAGTTGTCAAAGTAAATGAGCGGTCTAACACAGTACAAACTGAAAAGGTTCAAGATGCAGTAACTGAGGACCGAAAAATGGTCAATGCTCCAGATTTTGAACAACAGGTGCTGGATAATATTCTGGGTAACATTGAGAGGGCTATGAATGGCGCTGGTATTGAGATCAGACCTGATGTCCAGTACCAGATAATAGTGGGGGAAAATGCCAGTGAAGTTACTGTCCACGTCACAGGGGACGAATAGTAGCACCAATCACAATAAATGACAATTCAAAGTCCTGTTTGATATTGTCATGAGTATTGAGTAGTGAGTTATCTTATTGATACTGAGAGATTCATACTTCCCTGACCATTATGTAACTAACGTTAAACTGAGAAATGCATTCAGTCTGAGTTAGAGGGTAATCTAAAATTTGTAATTAATACGTTTTTTGTAAAATGAAGAAGAAAAAAATAATGACAAAAAAAACAGTATGATGAAGTAAGAAATATATCAAATAGTAAGAAAGTTGTGAATTTGGATTTCTAAGTTTATTCCTTTTCCTTCTTCAAATATGAGCCTTACATCCATAACACATGTGCATGTAGTTCTGCCAGCATGAATGGTTTTACACTGGACAAAAAACTCTTAATGAAGAAGTAAACTAATTCATTTCTATTTCAAATGACATTAGAAACAATTTTTCAAATAGAAGTTGAAAATACCTACCCGGTATATCAGGAATGGCCTAGCACTTTTTTGGGAAGGGGAGGGTTGCCCGTCCATCTGCCCAGCTTTCTTGTTATTGCGACATCTCAAAATCTGTTGAAGCCTGAGTCCACTCTAATTTTCAAAAATTATAGCATGTTGTAAATAAATCAAAGATTAAAACTGCCAAATATCACAGGTGTACTTCAATCAAGCGATTAAACTTTGGATTTAAACCTTGGAACTCTTTCAGCCTCATAGGAAGATCCCGCCCCCCCCCCCCACTCCGTGACTGCATGCTTGTTTCCAAAATCTCTGGCTCGTAACGGGGAAAAAGATCTGCCCGTATTGACTTTACACACCGGACTTATGCTGAAAAGGGAGGGGGGGGGGGGTGCTGAAAAGGCTCATATAACAAAGAAAAAGATCTACTCGTGTTGACTTTACATACCGGACCTAATCTGAAAAAAGGGGGGGGGGGGGTGGGGGTGGGGGTGGGAAGGAGATCAAGTTACGATCATAGGGAATGTGAGTCAAAAGACAAATGTCACAAGATAAAGGTCATTGAGTGATAATTATGTGTTTGTGTAGTCTTGTACAGATTGCAGCCTAATAAAAATCCTTGTGGTTCTGATGTGGACTTTAAATTGAGACCAACTGTTGCAGGACCAGTATATATATATATATATTATTGGTATATATTGATCGACCAGCAGCACAAAGCTGAAAGGGTCAATTTACAAAAAATACAGTGGATGTATATTATACAGTTATTGACTGGCAGGGGGTGTAATATAACATTATTTGGACCGCTGAAGGGAGTTATATTTCCCAAGTGGTTATATTTTCCCGAAGCGCGCAGCGCTGAGGGCAAATAACTGTTATATTAGATAACCTTGGTTGATATTTTTGTTTTGTTTTTGGGGGTGGGGGGGTTCCATATTTTTTTGGCCCAAAATTTTAGAATAAGAAGTGCAACAAAAATAATTTCAAGGCAGAAAAAAAAAAAAATCTTGCCCAAAAAAGCATTTTTGGGGAAGAAATTTTTTTTAATAATAAAAAGCATTTTGGGGGGGAGAAAAAAAAATTCATGAAAAAAAATATTGAAAAAAAAAAATGACCCTTAGTATTAAATGGTGTAATGTGTGTAATTGGTGACATACAGTCCTCAAGAGGGCGACATGAATTGATTAAAAAATATATTCATTTTACCAGTTTATACACATTATGTACTAGCAGGAGATATACAAGAGCAGGGGAAGGTATATAACTCATGAAAGGGAGAGTGATAGAGCGAATATCCTACCCTTCATGTAAGCAATCTGATTGGTATTCTGCTGAAACCATACTTGAAACATGTAAAAAGCTATATCCGACATAGTGAAGATTTCATGAATTATGAAAAATGTTAACTATAATATTTTTTAGTTGCTTTTGATGTTAGCACTCTTTATACTAATCATTAAGTTGGATTAGATTCTTCTATTCAATATTGATTGGAAACATACATGTCCTCAAGAGTTGAAAAATAGAATAACCAAAGAGTTTGTTCTAAAAGCTGTCAAATTGATTCTGTGTAATAATGTACTTCAATTCAATTGTACATTCTATAAACAAATCAAGGAACCGCAATGAGCTCAAAAATGACCCCAGCATATGCAGAAGAATCTGCACAATTGTATCGAACCAAAAGTGAGAAGAATAAAAGATTTAAAGAATTAGAATCCATGCTTAAAGAGAAGGTTGAGTTCTGGGAAGAGATTAAAAATAGTTTGTGAGCGTTATTGTATTATGCAAGTGTGGAATAACGTCAGATTAAAAATGTTCCCTGAAAAACATGGCTTTTCAAATGCTCTTAATATGACATGTACGTGTAGTCCCATATAAATCTTTTTGTGTACAGTGCTTGTAACTTTACCAAGACTAGGCCTTACAGTATAAACCAATACTTATATGCTAGATGATCAACCTTTCTGATCATTTCCACAACGTTTCTCACACAGTGCAATCGCATGACCAGAACTCGACTTTATCATCTCCGAAATGAAAAATGAAATGTATAAATCATTATATCAAACTTGAAGATTATGAGCCATATAATACAGTAATTGCTACTATTTGCTCTCAAAGTTTCATACAGAGGAGAAAGGAACGTTACAAGCTTGAATTCAAGACGAAAAACAGAAGACTACTTGATAACGTCAGCATAATTGTAGAGGATATAGCCACTGATTGCTTCTCCACGTGTGTTTATGTGCTGTCAACATATATCACTTTGCTTATTCGTTTTAGATTCTTACATTCGAATATGTCAACCATTTACAAAAATTTATCTTACAGCTCTATTGTTACATTGAATCTTTATGAGTAAATAAGCAGAATCGATTTGAAATAAACTTTCAGATTCTCTGAAAAGGTTATCCGAGTCTGAGGCTATCATGAGTCGGAAATTGCTGTAGACGGTCAATGTGTAGGGGGGAGGGGGGGGGGGGGGGGGTCGTGTGTCCGGACACTCTTTTGCCTTTGGATTTAACAAATATTTATTAAATGGCACCGACCATCGTGAACATTTGTGCTTCATAATATTGTTCTCAAACGATTTGTGAAATACAACTTGGGGAAAAAAAACATGTAAAAACACGTTAATTTTACCTTTTTTTGAGATGGGCCCCCTCCCCTGGTGCTCAAGGGGGAGGGGGTGCGATTTTTCAAATTTTCGAGGGCCAAACAAACAAATTAATGCTCACTCTGCTGATGGTTAATACAAATAATTAATATACAGTGCGTCCCAGAAAAAACGAAACCGAGAATTGTCGATGTTTTATCATAACTTTATCACAATAATAATTGATAAATGTCACATATTTGTAAAGCTTGGATCCTCTTTCATTCGGTACTACTCGTATAATGCATATTTCACGCATGAGTGATCAAAATCGATTTGAAGAGAGGAAACCAAAAAGTCAATCATTTAGAGGACGGTATGTGAACTTCAACGAGAAAATCACATTTCTAAAAAGTTGAGTTTCTGCCCTTTCCTATGACACCTCAATCAAGAAAAATGAACTAGGAATAACAAAGTTCTGTTTGTTTAAAGTTGTGCTTGCATTTCCATAATTGTATTAAACAAATTCGTTTTCACTGGCTGACTGCCGTAGCAACAAACGGAATTAACAGCAGACTTAACTCCGTTCGTTGACAATCGGCCATGCAGGAAGTCTTTCGTCTACGTCAACGAAATGGAGTTAAGTCTTTTGTCAATTTTGCTTGTTGCTACTGCAGGCGCAGCCAGTGAAAACGAATTCGTTTGACAAAATTATGGAAATGCAAGCACTACTTTAAACAAACGGAACTTTGACATTCCTTGCTCATTTTTCCTGATTGAGGTGTCGTATGAAAGGGCAGAAACTCAACTTTTTAGAAATGTGATTTTCTCGTTAAAATTCAAATACCGTCCGCCAAATGACTTTTTGGTTCCTCTCTTCAAATTGATTTAAATCACTCATGCGTGAAATATGTATCATATAATTTGCATCAAATGAAAGAAGAGGGTCTAAGCTTTCCAAATATGTCATTTACTAATTATAAATGTGAGTAAGTTATGATAAAACATCCATAGTTTTCGGTTTCGTTTTTTCTAAGGCACTGGCAGTGACGTCACTAGTCCGCGTTCTCGTCGTGCAGAATCTAAAAATCCCTATTTATACAATGATACGACTGGAAAACGATTAGATACACACACAATTTCGTGTGCATAATTGAACCACACATAAACATGCACGGAAATGGATGAGCTCCCATGGATGCGTATTAAAAATTAAACACGTTTGGGATTAAGCCCACCCCGACACGAGATAAAAGGCTCCAAGAGAGCATCCAACTCCAAATCAGAGTAGCGTACCTCCTAAACAAATACAGGTGAAATTGAGGAACGCAAAGAATTGTTAAACAAAACACCATACTGTTAGCTCATTAACAAAAGCAAATGTGGTATGTCTTTGTGTCATTATGATGACAGTATACCGAAGATCCATTTAAAAAGAAATGTATCACCTAGCTGGCCGGGTAAAGCTTTGCCGATGGGGGGGGGGGGGGGGGGGGGGGGACAAAAACAAATGAATCCTAATTAAATTACCCCCATATGCAAAACAAAAGATTCAGTCATTTAACATATTCACAAAAATCATTAAGAATTGACTGCAACTTAATCCCTTTTTACAACTAAGAAAAGAAGAGTAATTTACAATGAACAAAGCATGAAGCTATATTTTTGAAGATGCATGACCCGGCCTGCACGCCCTAGTTTTATGCATTACAGTAAATAATTTAAACCTCTGTATATCTATGTAGAAAAAAACAGGAACATTTTATATTTTCCTTTGCATGGCCTATATTGTAAGTTGTAGAACCTAATAGGCAAAGAGGAATTCGTCTACATTACTAGGTTCACATTAAACTCATATTGAGACTTGATAATAAGAAAACTAAGAAACGAATCCTGAAGCTTTAGAAGCCTCATGAGGCAATGATAACTCCCCAGTCATGTAGTATTATAGTTGGTATACATCAGAATTTTCTTGAAACCTAGAGTAGTTAAATTCAGGGCAGAAATGATCTCCCTAGCCTCTAAGCATCTGAAATTGGCTTGTTTTAATCAGGGACGTGATAGACAAGGACTGGTATCAAGTCGCTCTCCTTTGACCCCATACTCGATTCCAAGCCGCCTAAAAGTTGTGCGCTAATTGCAATGACGACCTTCGTCATTGCCTTGTTTTCGTTCACATTCTGCCCCATTAATATACTTATCCTTATCGTTATCGTCCGGAAATCCCGTTCGTTTTGCACGTAGTGCTTGTTATTCCTAGTTAGGTGCTTTCCTCATGTCCATTTTTTTTCAAATTTCGTAGGCATTATCTCTAGCATTTCATCCAAGTCACTACTTTCTTCGATTTTCGACATCACTCATGCATGACCGTCCAGGCGCCATTTTGTCCGTTTCTGGTCCATTTTAAGGCCTTTCTTTCTTCCTTCCTCTCTCCACTTTCCTAGATCCTACAAACTTCTAACAAATTCCTTTAGAAAGTCTAAGAGATGCTCTTTCATCTGCGACGTATAACCTGACCTTCAAAATACCATCTTCATACTCAAAATTCAAATCTGAAACCGTCTCCGTCAACAATCGCTCAAATTCTTGAAAAATTGACCCCTAAATAATCTAAAACTGCCATAACTTTCTCATATAAATTCCGTTTTGTATTTAAATCTCACAGTATCGTTATTTCATAATTGCACATAGCCATGCCAAATTTCACGCTCCAATGGCTTTGCAAAACATAAATAGCGCCCTCTAAAGTTCTGGGAATTGGCTTTCTTTCTGTGGCCGTATCTCCATTATGGCTTGGCAGACCCGTACCCCTTTTTGGATTTAGATACTTAAAGTTATGCCCTTTCCAGCCATATACAAAATTATATAC